TATCCATATTATTAATGAGCTAATACGTCACACATTTTGTTGGGCACCCTGCGGAGGATCTTCAATGTCATAACACCTTCCTGAAAAAGTTGAAAGTGGATTTCTGACCCTATCAGACAATGCTGAGAAAGGGAAAAAAAAGTGTCCTTATCGCTCTTATCAATGGCACTTTTTCTATGTGTATGTGTGTTACATAAGGGGAAATGGAAGCCAGCCTCCCAGGAGAGGAACGGATACTTAAGACGAGGATTGTGGGTACAAGCTCTACACCACTACAGAGCGAACACAGCACAAGACCCTTCAGGATGTAAAGCAACAATGCTCCGCCCTTAAAATGGACTCTTGCAAACTGGATATGACAAACGGGTGAGGAGAGCCCCCTCACGTCCCCCGAGATGCTGGCCTTCTCTTCAACATTCCTCAGTCTCCCCCCGCTGTCAAAGGGGCAATTCACCGCCCTGCGCTGCTACAAAACCCAGGCAGCTTTTTAAAACAGGATGTTTGTCTGAGGCCTCCTTCCCCTCAAATAAACAATCCGCAAAACCTGATTTCGGGAGGCAGGGTGGAAGCACTCGAGTCACATTATTTCCACATCCCGTATCCTGGAGCATTGGGGCTCCTGAGGGAGTGTGGGCGGCCAGGCGCTGGGAAGGCTCAGGGCTGCGGTGGAAACCTGAGGCCATGTGCCAGGCTGCAGGGGGAGATGAACCCAGGCTGCATCGCTCTGGGGTCTGTGGGACAGAGGAGGGGGATCATGCCTCGAGGTGGGGAGGGGGACATTGCTGACATGTTGATGCAGTTGTCACTCCACCTGATCGTACCGCTGCCTGCGCATTGCAGAGTCAGAATACAGCCATGGCAAAAAAGCATGTCTGCACAATGGGAAAGAGAAACCGTTTGTACTAACACATTATAAATTGATGCACAAAGAATATAGTTACAGGATGACTAACAGTGGTATTGAGCTGAAGATGATGGTTCCTGAGCTATAAATGTATCATTATCCCACCTTATGTCACTCAGCATCACACTCACACCCAGAGGAGACATGAAACAGACTTCAAAGATCCATTCATAAAACACTGAGGCCCCTGCAACAAACTGAAGACATGATCTGACATGGATAAAGCACAACAACATATTTCAGAGCAAATTAGAGGTGCAATCTATCCCAAATCTTTTCGGATGTGTACAGTAGATATGGTATTTAATTAGTGCTGTGCAGAAGTGGAATCACATGCCTTCAAAGTCAGATCAAAAAGTACAGGTCCAGTCTAATCTGCCTCAATCAAGAGAAGCATCACATGCCTTAATTAGACTGTCTGATTATTCTTTGCATTTTCACTGACTCTGTTACAGACAGAGGGAATGGTTTGATGTTTAGTGCTGGCCTCTTCCTGACACAGACAGGCGGGCTGCGATTAGTATTGACTGCACAATTTAATTTGCTTTGCTCTTGCTTGTGAATGTATGTCAGTATGCATCTGGACTTATATGAGGAGCATAAGGAAGAAACATGAACTTAAAAACGTATAAACAAAAGCTTTACAAATGTGTTTTTGTTGTCCCAGTGCCTGCATAAAACTGTACCTTCCCTGAGCAAATGGTTAACCCCCTTATATAAGGTCCTTCCCATCCATCTGCTAACTGGCTTGTTCTGCCTGGAAGAACCAGTCAATACCAGAATGGACCTAACATAGTGTCGGTCTGCATAAGAGACATCCAGACAGACAGCGCTGACCCCTTCTCCAGAGACTGGCCAGCATATGGAGGAGAGCGCTGTATGATAACTGTGTGGAAACCCTGACTACCTGCTGTTGCCCCTCTTGTATTAAATATAGTCTGTGAGTTTGGCTCAGGCTGCAATTTTCTGTCTGAACCTGTCTGAGCCCGAGAGAAAACTAACCGAGTCTGAAACGCACTCTTTTTTGTGTGTCCAAACCCGACTTGAGCCATTCTCTTCCTCGATTACAGGCATATACAGTGTAAAAAAGAGTCCTGGTGGGCTCGGGTCAGGTGTCCACACTCTACTTTGTGTAATCTAAGTTGTGCAACTGTCATACTTCCACCTCTCTGGTCCAGAAGAAAATAAGAAAATATGAAATGGAAATTGACTCAGGTCAACATGCAGTTACTCTGTTCTCTTGATCCTACAAATCTCAGTGAGCCCTAGATTCTAACCTGTGATGTAAACTCACACCAACATGTACGCAACTGTAATGCTGACAAATTCCTCTGGGTTGATTGAGGACACATCCTCAGATGACAGAAGACTGCAGTCAGCCTGGAGCCATGATCTTATACTGGTCTGAGCCGGGAACAGATGAAAGCTCTGCATCATTAATAGTACATTAATACATTTAATAAGAGTAATCACTACACAAAGTGACCCACATCTTCAAAGCCTGATATTCTTAAGTAGAAAACACAAAGTCATCTTGGCATGGCTCCTCATAATAAAGATAATGAAAACATAGAAAGGAGCTGACCAAAGCAGCATTGTAATGAAGAAGAGCCCCCAATGTCAGAGACAATATAAGTGACATAATGAAGTTAGTGTGTAGGGGGAAAACACCCCCTCAGACAGTCATACAGGAAGCAATGAGACCTGCTTCAAAGAGCTTCACTCTGATGACCACACAACCAGGCCCAGGCTGTGAGGAAACAGGTGTGTGGACAGACACCAGCACAGCCACATTCCCTCACACACAGCACTGAGCTACTATTGCAAAGCTGTGCCCTCTCGTGACGTAAAAAACACACCACAGAATGCCTGGTGCCGGTGTTTGTGACACAGCAATGTTTGAATAAATAATTGGGCATATTCCAAATATGCCACACAGTAACTAAAAGTATGAGTATTAAGGTTAATAAATTAATAAAATAATGTGCACGTGAGGAAGCTTTTTAAGGCTGCATGCTTAAGAACATTTTTAAACAACTGTAAGAATCTGCCAGAGGAAGCAATCTAAGCTTAACTCTAACATTAACATAACACTATAAAGAGTATTGATTTCAAGGCTTATTTTTGTATTAACATGGTACCAAGTGATGCAAAGCAGCAGGAAAGCTACTTTTCACATTTCCATGAAATGATATCTTCTCGACACTGACTGAAGCGGTAGAACAAGCTTGTCTACAAAACCATCCCCTCTGATCAGTTTCTCTTCCATTGTGTGCTGCTCAGTGGGTATTTATGTAGCCCCAGGCTGCAGACTGAAGATGATTATTTGACTCCAACACACCCACCCACCCAGTGCCCCCCAGACTTGCTTTTAAGAGGTTTACTTGTTCCTGCACGAGGGGTGGAGTCTGGATCCCATACAACTCTGGTTACACGCCCTCTCTACTCGTGCTGAGGGGGAGATTCACAGGGAAAGTCATCTCCAGCTACACGCATTCAGCACAGGATAACCTTAAAATATGCACTACAGGCCTGCATGCTAAAGCAGAAATAAGCAGGAGACTTCAGGCTCCTGGTTTGGCAAAACTGGGTGAAATACTTAGTAGGGATTCTGCATCATGCTCATGTTTTCTTTCACTCAACCTGGACACTCTTTTTGTATCTAAAATCAAAGAACTGTCATGCAGTCTAAATGCAACACGATCAGAGACGAATTGACTACACAAATTAACTCGCAGCACAGAAAACTGACACCCCGCAGAGCGCTGGTCATTCTCTTTCCCTTTTCCAAGTTGCTGAGTGTGTCACAGCCGCTGCAGAGCGACCTGGCCTCTACAAGCAGCAACACAGTTGGAAGAAACCAAAGCCTAGCATGTCTAGATCCTCCCTCCTCACCACAGTCTCTGAGGAATTGTGGTGCGGGCTCTGACAAGCCCCTCATTTGTTGACTCAGGGAGTGTCGCCGAGCCATGCTGAGGTGGTGACAGCATGTGTACCGGGGAGGAGGGGGCCCTTGCTGACTGAATACTTCACTGCCAGGTAGCCATGTCAACTCCTCAGTGTCGAGGCCTCGGAGCCATGGCAGGAACTTTAACAGCGAGCTCCAAAAGGAGGGCTCTGACTCCCCCTGTCCACACGATACTATGCATGCTGGCTGTGGCCCTAGCAAGGAGGTGGGAGGCGTGCTTAACTCTTTGCCATGAGAAAGGAGAGTTTCATTTCAAATCAGAGGACAGGACTGTTTCTACTCACTTCCTCTGGTGTGGCCCCATTCACAGGAGCAACTCCATTTCCCTGAACCCACCCCTCCCTGCAGCCCACTTACAGCCAGGCTAGATAGAGTTGTACGTGTGAGTGTTCGTGCACATGCACATGCATGTGCACAGCTATGTGTGCTTGTGTGTTTCTGAGTGAGCTTGGATCTTATTACAGTTTGATCCCACTCAAATATTTCTGAAAGAAAAACAGAGGAGGGGAGCCCAGCTCTGTGGCCAACGCACACGCCCCGCTGAACCTCTGCACCGCTCACAATGAAACCTTTATCTTAAAAGCTGGGACTGTTCATAATGGCCCTTAATGAGAAAGAATAAAGAACAACATCTAAATGAAATTACCATTGAAAATGTGCGCATTCATCCAGATACACTCAACAGCTACACAGAGTGGAGCTCTGAACTGTTATTAAAGAACACTGGGAGAGGATCTTAATTCCAGCCATTTAAAGAAAAACAAGGTTCTGGCATGAATGATTGATAAATTGCTTACTAGTTTGTATTATTCTTACTCGAAAATCAAGTTCATGCAAGTACTTGTTTGTGTAGAAATGAACATGTCTTTTATTACTCAAACTATCAAGTTGTTGAAATATTAACATCAAATATCCCATAAACACACTCACTTCTATGCATCACATATAATGCTAAATTATACAGCATACCAAGAACAGTTACAACGTAAAATTGGCTTCAGTATTTACAGACGGGCTCTTCTGGGATGATAAACCTTTGGTAATCATTTATGTCTATCATCAGAGTGAAACATTTCGGATATAAACTCCTTATATGGAGACTGACAACGGTTGGAGTAACACACCCACCTGAGAATTCCCCCGGTGTGTTTGGTGAGCTGGCGGCCTCAGTTTCAGTGTAAGACAATGTGGAGTCTGACAGATCTGTGGAGGAATAAAACAGAAATTAGCCCTCCGTTTTCTGACAGTATCATCTGCTTCTCCTAACAAAGCGGTTACTCCTGTGTACGTCTGACAATGATTCTTATTTCCTATCAAATTCAAAACAATTAACACCATGTTGGGCTTCATCCCCACAGTGGATAACCTGGCAACTTCCCTGACAGGCTTCACCTGATGACACCCTCCACCAAATGCCAGCAGAAACCTCAGCTGTACTCAGGCTTGCAGCCCCAGCTCGCAGCCAGGCTCCAGAGTCCCAGCAGCCCACAGTACATACTGCCCACACCATATTGCCCACACTGGCTCTGGCTGGCATGCTGACATTATGCCACATGCTGGCCCAGGTCTCATCTCAAAGCTACCATGCAGTTAGCTTCTAACTGTGCCCAGCTACAGCCATTAAAATTCTCCACATTGCTCGTATGCCTGTTTCTTTCTGTCGCAACGGAACAAAAGACTCATATTTACTTCTGATGATTAAAAATACAAGAATCAAGTAATTACAGCTCTGCAACCTATCAAATATTAATATCAAATCCAAATGAAGATCAATAACACAGGATGAGATGCAAGACGTTGTTCAGGAGCCACAGAGTTTGTCTTTGTGTTGGTCGCTTACCCAGTGGCTTGTGTTCTTCATTGGGGGAAAGCCTCGAATATGGAGGTGGGGGTGACTCTGTAACGGAAAAACAGTCAGGTTAAACTCACGCCCTGATATACATCAAGACACACACACGCAAGCACAAACACACACACTAAAAGTTGAAGTGTTTGAAAGTCTAAGAGGAGCGATCCGACATATGTTTATGCGGTGAAATCCTCAGTCTCTGGTAAAAATATTCAGCGGCTGATTAACTTTGAGATAACTTTGATAAACGTAGACATTCATTCCTGCTATTGTACCGTCAACTCCACATTGTACTTGTGATTCATACTGCAGTAATACAAACATAACCGAGTATTGTCTTGATATCTTGTGTGAAGTTATTGTCAGAAGTCTTTGACAAATGCCAACAGAACCAGCCACAATAGGATCTTCAACTCACAACAGATCCATTTCAGACAGCAGGACACATCTTAACTCTTATAGCCTTGTCTGCACCAGATCATTTTGTTCAGAATCTAGTTAAAAAAGCTAATAAAGCCGACAGAGAAGTGCACGTCTGCTGCTGTTATTTAATCTCATATTATTTAACCGAAGCAGTGATTACTACGACCACGCACTAACCACAACTTTTAGTTAGTAGTTTAGTAAATCTGAGTCAGTCTCTGCTTTTTAACTTCACTGTGTTTAAAAGCCTTTGACTTTATCTCATAAAAAACAGGCGAAATGAAGAGAATAACTTGCACAAGAAAGAAAAACTTTGCGAGCACACTGTGACCTCGCCTACAGGGAAAAGGGGAAGGAGAAAAGCATAATAGCAGCGGGTCCTTTAAGAGTGGCGGCAGTAATTGCCAGGATCTGAACTCAGTCACTCAGATACACAGCTAGTCAGTCTGGCGCCAGTAGTATGCAAACTGTATATTATCACCACTCCTTCACCTAAATAGCATGAGGGGACCTTCTTAGGACAAAAGGGCTTTTAAAGCGCAACTTGAAACTGATCTCATTTGAAAAGTATAATGCCTGGCTAAATAAAAGGAAAAAGTTTTTGTTCGCTTTAATCCAAGCTTTCTGCCTCACATTGTAAACTGTTTAATTCTTTTTTATATGAAACTGATGCCTGTGGTTCACTTTCAAATAATTAAAAAACCAAACAAGTAGATTTAATTACAGTTGAAAATGTCTTGTTTTTAGGAGAGGCTTGACTTTGTTTCACTAAGAGTTAAAAGGTTTTACAATTAAAATCTGTCTCATGAAATGAGTGTTATTCTTTTACAATTCCATACTTACTTTCCCTTGTGCAAACAACGTAAAAAAACAGTGGTTAAGGTCTTGATTCACAGCCCCCCTTCTTGAATAGCATGAAAGAAATACCAGCTCTATTGGGCCACGCATGAGCGCATGTGAGCTATGTGTACTACAAGCCTTAGTCCCAATATGGGGTATGTGCTTCTCTCCCTCTCCTTATAATTCATCTTGCTAGTTTCAGTGGAAAGAAACACACACAGCAGCGCCTGACATACACATCAGTAGGGGCACTAACCAAACCCTCCGTCTATCTAACGCAGCAAACACCGCACAACCTTGGAGCTCTTTATAATCCCATCCGACAAATTTGTACTGTGCACAACATACTCCCCACATTTGCATGCTCCAGATTCTGATATTGCTGGACTTCTGACTTTTAAGAGCGTGTCGCCGCCAGCTGGCCCTAGAAAACAGGAATGTTATGGAAAATCCTCCTCCCGTGCCAGTGAGAAAGCAGAAATACTGACGCTTGCGTCTTTACACATGATACCATGCGTTGTCATCAGGTCAGTGGGGTCGAGTGGCCCAGTGTTTAAGGTGTGCCAAATCGCAGGCCTGTCCCCTGCCAAAATTTAATCTGTTTAATATAGGTCAGGAAGGTTCTGCCATAGAAAGCTCATTGATGGTGGAAAACAAAGCTCTGCTCTTTCACCACACCACCAACTACACTGACACATACGGCACCGAATCTCAGTGTGTGTCTATACATTCAAGTAGTATACATGTCATACCCTGTTGATGGTATTGGCCTACCTGGCAATTACCCTTCAGGAAGGAGGGGTAAGAACAGCTGTATTGACAATCACACTCAAAGACATATTCACATATAGACGTCATGTACTGTGTGTTATCAAGGAATTCATTGAAGATTCAAACAGAGGAGCTGTAAAGACAAGACAAAACCAACACTCCTTATATGAAGGGTCCAGTCGTCACAGGGCAGTGTGACTGATACTATTCGAATGCAACTAACCAAGCAGGTTAATTTAAAAAGAGAACTTATCGTCTTACCTGCATTTAGATTTCTTTCACTCTCAAATATACCGAACACGAATACTCCAGACAGCATCAGAATAATACCCAACTGACTGTCTCATGGTTATTATGTCAACCTTGGCTCAGAGTGATATTATTATTACCTTGCCATAAGGATAACCTTAATCATTAACTATCTAATCAAATGACCAGCCATTCTCTATCTAGGGGTGTAAAAGTAAGCCAAACAATAGCTTATAAAACAGCATAGGAGAAGACTGCCTGAATATATATACATTTTTACATCTTGAAAAGTTCATTTCTGCCATGGAGTGATTAATATGACCTTTTGAGTTTTCTTTGTAACATCTCGGGTGTGATAATTTGGAAATATCTGAAATGCAAATGGACCTAATTGGCCTAATGTAAAACTGCATCTGTAGGATTTACTTGTGCGTTTCTAGAACATGCGCATTTTAGAATAAATGTGTCCTAAATGAACACTGCAAAGAAAGTAAGAGGAAACCTGGAGCAAAACATCATATACCCAGAGGCCTTCCAGTTGTCTGTTGCTGGGACTATGGAAACAGCATGGAGCTGGGTGCTGCATGCAGACAGTGTGTGTGTTGGCTGATGCTCTTACCTGGCCCACAGAGCCGGCTGTAGTGAAAGGGGTTGCAGCAAACTGTCGGACTGTCCAAGGCCCCAAAACTCTTACACTCACAGAGCGGTTTGAGCTGGGCCGAGTGCTGGAGGTCGGACCAGCGGTACAGTTTACACACGAGCAGCTGTGGGGATGCCACATGGCCGCCCAACCTCAGCTCTGTCCGGGCTATCATAACACAGTCGCTCGGCATCCCTCCCCTGGACTCCACCGCCTCCAGCAAGGTATCCAGCGCCCTCTCCTTTAGCCGCTTCAGAAGAGAGTATGTGGCTGACTTCAGTTCTTGATCCAACACCGTGCGCGGCATCGCCTCCTGCGCCTCAGGAGCGCCGCTATTCCGAGGTGCGAGGCTCCTCAGCGCGAAGTGACACGACCCCGGATCCGCGGTACCCTGAGCCGTCTCCGGACCCCTGAGCTCGGAGTGGTCCCGGTCTTTAAACAAGCAGCACGTCACTGTCCTGCACTCGCTGTCCTGCACGGATCGGGGGCTCCCTTGCTCCTGGACGCACACCGCGCCCCCATCTTGGTCCGACGTGACCCCCGAGCCTCTGCTCTCCGCGGGGCTCCGAGTGCACACACCCCCCGTGTCCCCTGCGTGAGACCCGCTCGGGGTCATCGGTCTGAGCTCCGTTTTGGGAATCTTCTCCGGGTTGTTGCCGAACAGATCGTCCCTGCAGCCCTCACCAGTTTGGCCATTTCCATCTTCCCCTTCTCTATCTGGGATCAAACGGCTTCTCCAGAGTCGCCGCACAAGACCTGAGCGTTTCGTCCTGAACATACGACAACTTGAAAATCTAGATGTGGTCTTTTTATTAATATTATTATTCTACAGATATCCGGATATTACAGACACTTAGACGGTCGTTGCAAAACATTAATGTGTGCGGAGCGCCGTGCAGTGCATGCACAGCCGAGCGACGAGCAGTGCTGGCAAAGCCGCAACATTAGACTCAAGGCTGTTTTGTTGCATCTACAACAACACAACCGCGCAATAAATGCACCGCAACATTCCGATCACAATGCATTCATTTAGCCGATTAATCCGATTACACCCAAATCGGCTGAAAAGTGTGATTTTATAATCCAGGACCGCAGTGGAATGGACTCGTTAAACCTCTGTTACGCACGAATGAAAAAAGCAAAGTACACAATAAGATAACATAACACACTTAGAAGCATGATCCAGAAGCAGCAGCCTTCACCGTGAGACCAACTCGAACAGTTCAGGACTTTTAACAGCCCCAGGATCTACTTTCTAACCGGCACGCAGCGCATGAGGTACTTCGAGGAGGTTTAATCCCTGGAAAATGCACTAGAAGTCCGGATCCTTCAGAGGTCTGTGCACCTCTTCTTCTTCTTTCTGAAACAATCCCAACAAAATATCCATGCGAGCTGAAACTACACGAGGAGGATCAATCCGGGGCCGAGTCTCGCTCCTGCTGCTCCACTCAGATCTAAAGCAAACTGCAGCACGGATCCTTTCTTTCTCCGTTTCTCTCTTTTTCTTTTTTTCCCCCACTCTTCCTCACACACACGCATGCACACGCACGTACACACACACTCGCACACACACATACACACACACGCGGGGCCCCCGAGGAGAGCGGTGGAGCCATTGGCTGACTACCATCATGTGCTAGTCTAGACACTTTGGCGGCTGTGAGCTGCACTGATTGTTGCGCAAACAAGGTTTCAAGTTTCTTAACTCTTAAAGGCGAAACACCCACCTCTCGCGTTTTAAGTTAAAGTTTCTGAAACTTATTTACATCCACTGCATCCGCTATACGTGTAGGATGTGACAGGATCTGAGCAGGGAGGGGAAAAAACCTTTCAAGTGGAGGAGTGTGTTCTTTTTTTTAAAATCACCACTGAAAATGTGGAGTTCATCATTTATTTTGTACTTAAACTTTAGGTATTGGTTGGGAAATGTGGAAGCAAATCCTTGTTTTGGTCATGTAGATTGTTTATTTAAAGGTTTTTTAATTGATTATGAAGAATTAAACAAATTAATAACAAATCATGAATATATATTAACAATACACTTCAAAGATAGCAATTACATTTCATATTTCTCTCCTTCAACCCACTGAACTCATGAAAGGACAGTGTGGATATTGTGTTAATACTCTTATTAAAATACCCTTTAGGTGTGAAAATATTTCTATAGTCAATTTTAACTATAAATAGTGAATAATAGTCATTTTAACGACAGGGCCAGGGGTGCAGCTGAAATCTGAACCTCAAGTGCCCCCAAAAAACAAACGTAAAATAAATAACAATTTGTCCAAAATAATTATTTTTTAAGTGTACCTCGAAGTCCACAATGTGCTTGAACAAGGAACAATTTTAGAATATATTCAATGATGTGTGTCTCTGCTCAAATTCATAAAGCCAACAGTTAACAAGGAATGACTTAAAATCTTGACCTTACTGAATGAGCAATTGTGCATGGATGTCCGACATATAACTGGCCCCTCTGTGTCAATTGTGGCCCCTTAATGGCCCCTGTTGTAGTGTCTCTGTGTGTGTATGGCACAGCATTTTTTTAAAGAATAGTTTAAATTGAATAACGCACTCAAATATACATGTATATGTAGAAAGCACCAAGAATTGTGTGATTTTTGCAATTGGGAAGAATGAGAAATGAGATCAATTTCAAGTCTTGCCCAATAACACTACTGGGCTCTGACTCCTCGTAGTGGCAGTACTAGCTTGATCATGCATTCAAATGAATAAAAGTAATATGGCTAAATGCGTCTTCTAGCTGAAAAACAAGTGTACGTTCCCGCAGACAACCGTATCTGCAATCTTGCCTGATGTGTGGACCCTGTGCACGTAGCCTGAAATGAAGGTCAAGAAATCAAGCAAACAGCAAGGTCGTCATCACGCTAACCACGCATGGCTCACTGTTGCTCATTGGACTGTGGGAACACTGACACCATTCATTTTCCGCCTCCTTCTTGAACACAACATAATCAGATATGAAATGTACATGTGTTCGGGTCTGGGAAGGCACATTCAAATGGTTGTCACCGCAAAAGTGAGTCCTAGTGGTCGGTTGGGGTTCTTCTCTTGTCGAGGTTCGGTTAAGAGTGCGAAGTAGAGGCAAAAAATTAATTGATATAAATGACAACGCAACTACGTAATAATCAACACATTTGGCATTTCTGTACTGCAAGCTTTAGTAATTTATTGGTTGACAAATATGCTGAAAGGTTTTGCAAAAAGCTAACATCAGACCAACAGATTTATCAATCGGGCTCCACTGTAAACCTCCCTTCCAGTTCAGCTTATTTTTGGCAGATGTTGCTGATGATAACCGTACAATAAATCAGCAAAATGAGATTATTTATCTCCTAAGTAAAGAGTTAGGTGGACTTGGAGGATGTCACAAATTGGGAGGAAATGAGGAACGATAATATTATCGTTAAAGATATTACTTTCATGCCTTTCCTATGAATCAGAAGTAGAGCAACGTAGCCATAATGTGAAAAAATTATGTGCGTCCATATGTGGAGGTGGGAAGAAACTGGCGTATGCACTGAGACGCTTTAATTGATTAATATTGGCTGCTGTGCTTGGATCCCTCATCCATTGTTTCTTACATCCTGGAGGTAAATAAGCAGGATACTGTAGGTTGCTACAGAGCAAAGTAAAGCTCTTCAGTACGATAAAGACGTGAGAGGCTAAAGAACAAGAAGAGGCCTGCACCAGGTCAACAGCAACCTACAGTGACATAATAGTGACGACACAGCATTACTATGTTATCACTACCGACACAACACACAATAGCATATTTCAGAGTTTTCCAGCCCCTACAGCAGCTTTAGGTGGCACAGAAAAAAACAACACTCCTGCCCTTTTTACCACTGTGAGAGCCAACAGCCTTTATGGTGGCTGGAGACACAACAGGTGAACTCTTGCTTATTGATGTCTGCCTTCACCTTATCTCATGTGACTTGTTTTATCAGGGCAAACAGTAAATAACAGGGAACTCCAGTTTCTGTTCTCTAGATCACCAGCTACTGATTATAATGGACATGCAAAAGACAACATGCAAATCTTATATTCCATCTGGTACTAAACAGTCTGAACTACATGTGTATATTATGGTGACAAAGTGAATTTGAGTTCTATTTCAGGACTTCACTTGAATTGCCTTTGCCCTTGTAAGAGTTAAATGATCCTGGCTCAGAACCCAGCAAGGCAAAGCCACACCCCAAGATATATTAACATGATCCAAGAAGCAAATGTTCAGCAGTAAGCGCTGCTGATTGGTGGAAAGACCTTGAAGCCTCGCCCCCTGGTGAAAAGCAGTCACACCCAGTATTGAATTTGTAAGTTGTCATGAATGAAATGTACTTATTTGATTTAATCCCTGGTGACGTGAAAAATATATTCCACGTAAAGAAGACTCTTCTCTAATGTTACTCTTATGACATCTATTTTATGCTGGTGAGTCTTTGAAGTCTGTAATCTGTAACTCTACATATAAAACTGTATCAGGAAATGATCATTGCATGTGATGCCTACTGAGTCAAACCCTGAGGCTTGGATGAATTGAAATGAATCCAGTATAAATAATGAATGTTTTGTACGTTTCAGATTTGGTGGATAGGAAAGATGAATCTTAACGAATGTTCTAAAACACACTAATATACATTTATATTGCAAACATGCTCCCCCACTGGCTTCCAGAACCTCTCAGGGTTGCACCAGTGGAGACTTGGAGGGCTGCAGCAGCACGGTGTGCCAGTGTCTGAACTGGAATCAGGTTTCTCTGGCAGGCTTGGGGCTCAGGGGCAGAGGGAGGTTACTGAGGGTGGACATGGAGGCCCTCATGCCTGCACTGTGTTAGAGGCACCTGTTGCAAATGCATTCCCCTTTGTAACTCAATCACATGTCAGACAAGGAAAAGAAAACTGTTATTACAGAGTACCGCTTCATTTAAATCAGTGTCATGCAATTTTCAATTAAGTCAAAAGAAAACCCAGCTGGCTCATAAGTCACTGAGGCTGTCGGCTCTGCTATCCCCGCCATTGGAAATGATTCACGCGAGACAAATGTTTGGAGGCATCAGCAGCGAGCAGATATATTAGATGCTCTCGATCTGGTACAGCATGAGTTACATGCAGATGATCCAGCGAGGGGGTCTCGACTCAGTCACTGTTGCAGTTAGCTGAGTGTAAACCCAGCACATAAAGGGACAAGTACAGTTTGACAGGCTGCTCAAAAGTAGTGTTATTAAAACAGAAGTAAATGTATGAACTCCAAACAAATCCTCATATACAATAATGCAGGTGCAGGATCCAAATTTTATTCAGACTGAGGCTTTTTGAAAAGAAAATTTACTCTGACAGTCCCTGGCCTCCATTATTCAATGAAAAACTGGTCCAAAGAGCTTTGGGCTTTTATCAGCGATGACAAAACCTTGAAACATTTTTAATATTTATCATGTTTAAAACATGTTAGTTCTGAATAAAGTATAAGTATGGGTCAATTTAAGTTCATACTATTTTGAGCCTGTTAAGTCATGTTCTTAGTTCTAAGTTCTTGTTGTAAACCCCTGAGCCTCTGAAGCAATTATGGATGAGAAATCCAAATTTGTGCTAAAAGGGCATAAGTAGAGAATATTTGTATTTGTAAACATACAACACATGAATAAAATCAGTGAACAAGTTGTTGAAGAAACATCTGTGTGCTAATGCAAAGCAGAAAACGGTGTCAAAAACCCAATAATTCCAAAGTGTGTGATGCTCAAGTTACAAAAATCTGAATTGTGACCCTGTTTGTAAACATGAATGTGACTGGGTTCATCACCTTCATCTGTGCTGCAGGTCCTGACAGGCTGCAGCACATTTTCAAGATGATGGCACAGGCTCCTCTGCAATCTGTTGGTTTGCAAACATACAATGTTTGCCATCATTTTCAACATCATCGTGAAACATTATTTAATCACACATTTTATTCACAGTCTCTCCTTTTTAAAATAAATACAATAGAGTACATATTCTACAGGATTACAAAGTTTGATTTACAACTAGTAAATAAATAACTAATGATAAATAAATAAAACATTTCCCTGACATGCACTTTTTTAAAGATATGCAAAAGGTGGGATAAACAGCTACTTTCTGAAAACCTCCCACCACAACTATGCTGTCTTTGCTTTCGAGGTTTTGCTGATGCGAAGGACAAAAACAATAAAAAAGATTTTGGTGTAGCTTGAAATGTTGTAGGTACATCAGCTAAAAAAATGATTTGTGAATCAGTGATAATAACAATAACTGATAATAAATAAAAGAGTAGCAAAATAGACATCACTTAATTTTCGATCTTGCAGAATGATAAAATAAACAAAGAACCATTAAAGCACCAAGACGGATTGTAAGCTGGAAACATTTTGTGGTTTCTGACATATATTGGAATTCCTTTATCATGTAGTTGACACAGAACTGTAAAGCTAACCATTGCTTAAAATAGAGTTGAGGCCATCTCTCCGAAATGTTGCT